TCTAAAATTTGTTCTTAATGACTCTGATTAAGAATGTTTATACTCTTATTAGTATACTATATATGTTATTAGTAAATTTATGAATTGTACATTTTGCATTTATTAGTCATAACTTCAACAACAAGTTATTTAACAATAAAAGAACTATTTTTTGTATTATATATAAAATTTAATGGCTAAAAATCTGTATTTACAAGTCAATTTTAAACCTTAATTGATAGTTATTCTGTACTATAAAGTATTTTTAGATATGGTAATATGGCTGAAATAAAATAAAAATATTTTTAAACCTAATTTGATTGAACTACTTAAGATTTTTCCAGTGTTAAAAATAAAAATAGTTCTAATATTTATTGGTTTAGTAATTTGGGTTAAAATAGTTTTTAATAAAGCATAACGTTATTTATATATCCAATCAAAAAGTGTTTTTATGTATCTAATGTTATATAATCTGCTTATAGAAAAATTCGTATTATAGTCTACAATTGACTACTTCAATAAATCTTTATTGATAAACAAGTAAAACTATACTAACAATAATTTAAGTAATAAAGCTTTACCTAACTTGTAACTATTTTGTGAAATTATGTTAGTGCTTCTCTTAATAAACATATAAATGACTGAATTATTAGCCAAAATAATAATTTTTTTACTTAACATATGTATATTTTCAGGTTAATTTTAGGCAGTAACTATACAAAATTAACTATAAATTTAGAAATTAAATGACTCTGTCTACGCATGGTGATGAGGCTGGAGGATCTGTTCTTGCTCCATCGCTCACAAATAGGACTGCTTGCGGTATCACATTTGCCATAAGCTTGGATCAAGAATGTCCTATGACATGCGAGCGTGGAGCTGCTGCCTCGATGAAAGATTGCCTGCATTCGCACGAGATTGGTTGAGGGATGCTAGGTGTGATCGAAACATATGACAAAGTTTACGATGCTTGAGAACTATTCTTGCGCAGGAAATACTTGATCTGGAACTTAAATCCCTCTCTTTTTTTTCTCAAGCTTGTGAACACTTCATGCAGGGAGGAATTTCAAATGGAGAGACGATAGTGACGAGAATAGCATTCAAGCTGACGAGGCTCTCAGAAATTTTCTTTCGCCATATTTGATTTTGCTTGCTTGCTTGCTTCTCAAAGAAATTCCAAAAGAAAGTACTGAGCTGCGAGCTTGTGCTCGTGATGATCATGTGTCGAGGTAATTTCCAAGAAACTGTTCTCCTTTCGTGGATCTCGTGAATGCGATCGATTTTTTACAGCTCGAGGGGATGGTGGCCTTGGTTCTGGCGGATCAGATCCTGCAAAATTACACCCAGTGCCAATTTCTCCCTCTTTGCAAAGCTCCAGCTCCAATCCACCGGCAGCCCATGCGTGATCGTGTAAGTTGAAATTTAGCGCCAGCTTTAAGGGGCATGAAGGCTCGGCCAGTGCTAATTTGCGGTCATCTGTGCGTGGAAAAGGGTTCCGGAAAGCAGCGTCAGTCCATCTCGTCATGGAGCTGTGCACCAGCGGGATTCACGTGGAGAACAAGATGGGAGTCACTGCTCTTCTGTATCAATTTTAATAAGTATTTAACCTTGATTATAAACGAAATAGAGAAAAACAATTCTAAAGTATCATGAATGTTCTAGGAATTCGATATCTTAAACAATACAAAACAGTATTTTAACATATCATTCGACCATTTTCTGCTCTTAGAATGTCATTTAAGATAAAGTTTGAAAGTCGTTGGTCACCTTGAAAATCATAGCAAAGAGCACTTAGTTTAACTGTCTTGTCTGGTGAAATTGGGATGTTAGCACCTTCACAGCTCCATTGAAATTTAGCACCTCTTATAAGATTGCCATTATTATTTCCAATGCAATTGTTAAGAACAATAGGTGATATTTTGTTTTTGAAACGTGCACATGTAGCTTCAAGCTGTCATCCTTTGGACTCATCATTCACATCAAGCTGTTCAATTTTTATGGTCTCAATATCACATTATCAGTAAAGTCTGCTATAGCCTAGTGAATTTGTATTAGTAAGTACAAAAAGAAAATAGAAATTTAAGGTTTACCAATGAGAAAGAGACCAACACAAACACAAATTAAGAAATAAAAGTATAAGTAGCCATGAAATGAAAAAAAATTTTTTTTTATGTATGTTTCTGATTTATCATCAATTTATATAGTGAATCAATCAAAAGAAAAGAAAATACAGAACAATTTGAAATTATTTGGCTGTGCATGCATTTTCAAAACTTTATCCTTTTAATTTCAATCTCTTTTTGAATTTAAGCAATATAAAACAAATATTCAAATATCTTCTCGACTAAACCTTGGACCAGGACAGTGTGCTGCCTTCTGAGTCTTGTTGTTTTGTCAAGAACAGTTTTGGGTTTGTTCGTTCGTCCTCGATGGCTGGAGGATCTCTCCTTTCTCCAACGCTCACAAACAGGCAGATCGATTAATACCATTCCAGTTTTGCTGGCTTGCATCACGGCCGCCAGTAGAGGTTTGATATTTGGACATGACACTGGAATCTCAAGTACAGAAGACGCTTCAACGCTTAGCAAGTTCTATAAGATCGCCATGGACGATTTTCTCATCAGTTTTTCTATGTCCGCAAGCACGCTGCCCCCGAGAACAATTACTGTAAGTATGACAACCAGGGTCTCCAGGCATTCAAGTCCTCGCTCTATCTCGCAGCTCTCTTTGCGAGCTTTGGAGAGTACGTGACGAGCAACAAGGGGCGATGCCCAACAATGCTAATTGGTGGCCTCAGCTTTCTCATTGGAGGGGCTCTCCATGCTGCCGCAGAGAATTTGGTGATGCTTACCAAAAGTTCTTATTAGGTAAGCTTGATATATGTTCTTGGTTTGTTTACTAAATATTTGGCAGTCAGTACCACTCTACCTGTCAGAGATGGCACCACCAAAACTTCGCGGTGATCTCAACATAATGTTCCAGCAAGCCGTCAACTTTGGGGTCTTGTGTGCCAATCTCATCAATTATGGCACCGCTAATCTCCAGCTCTGGGGAAGGAGGCTCTCGCTCGGCCTTGCGGCAGTCCCAGCATCACTCCTCACTTTTTGCGGCCATTTTCCTCTCCGACACTCCAAACAGAGGCCATCTCGAGCAAGGCAAATCACTCCTCCAGAGCCTCAGCTTGCAATGGCCGTGCTCATCCCATACTGTCAGCAAGTCACAGGCATCAACTACGCTCTTGTTCTGTTCCAGTCGATTGGGTTCCACACAATGCCTCGCTCTACTCGGGAGTGATCACCGTCATGATCAATGATTTTCAAAGTGGCCACTAGAATTATTTTAGCTAGTTCGAGTTCAAGGGGAACGAAGAGCTCAAAGAGATTCGCAGTAGGCGTTCACATGATTTCTTTCGCGTGGTCTTGAGTTGCCTGGTTCCCAGCGAAGTCTTTTCTCTTGAGATCTGCTGACCAGTGCAGTAAACATGGATGACGCTCTTCGTGCATTTCTTCTTGCCTGAGACGAAGAAAATCCTAATCGAGGAGATGCGGCAGGAGTGGAGCAAGCACTGGTACCAAGATGATTCCAAGTTCTCTTGGAGCTGGTTGTCGTCAAAGAGGAATACGCCGCAATTCATCCCAGGATCTCGTTTAAAATCTTGTACTTGAAGCTGAAAATAGTATCTCATTGGGTAAGGGGAAATTTTAGGGTACCCTATTGAGCAGGGATTGTTGAGCCCTGCGATCAAGATTACCTTTGTCATGGCTTCACTGCAGCTATCATACATTGGCCACCTCAGCTATCTGAAGAGGTATCTGAAACGATTGGAACCTTTGCTTTCTTAGCCAGTTTTTTTCTCTTCTTTTCCTAGAGACTTACAAGGGTGTCCATGTAGTTATGTTTTCTTTGGTGGAAAGAAAACGTACACATACGGTTTTCTTGTTGGGGGCATCTGTTCCATAACGAGCATGCTGGTGATATCATGCTGCTGCTGGTTTTCCAACAATGAGCTTGTGTTGATAAACAGCTGCTGAGGTCACGATCCTATAAATTCAAGCATATCCTTTTCTTTTTTCAAACCAAGAATGTAGACAGCATCAGTAGAAAAAAAAATGACCATGGCCTGAGATGAAGCAACGCGGTTGTTCATTTGCCGACGTTCTCTCATTATAAACTAACAAGATACATGAATTATTCGATTCTTCCACCCGAACGGGCCGTCGCCACCTTCCTCCAAAGCCCTGACGTTCATGCTGGTATTCGCTGGGCACCCCTCGCCCGAGAAGCACTCCGGCCAGGGATTCGTGAAGACGACTCGGGATTCACCGGGCGGGGAGACGTCCCCTCTCACCATGGCCTCGAAGTTAGCGTCGCCGCCGCCGCCACCACTCTCGCGAGCCATAAAGATCGGTGCCAGAGCCTTCCTGTTGGGCTGGATGGACGCCCGGAAGCCGTAGTAGAGCCTGTGGCCCAGGAGCAAAGTTGCTAAGACCGTCGTAAGTTGGCATGAAGATGTCCGAGAGCAAGCACACCATGTAGTCCACCGCCGGTCCCAGCCCCCTCGGCCTGAACAGCTTCCAGCCCCTCCGGAGCAGCGACGGTGGTGCGATTCTCTAGGTGAGGATACAGTGGCTGCATGAACGTCTTGCCTCGAAAGATGTCGCCCGCTGCGAGGTAGAGGCGCGTCGAGTTGTCGAGGCCCATTGCCTGGAGGATGAGCCTACTTCTTCCGGTGTCAAGGGACAGTTCCCGATCAAGCGCCTCTCGTTGTAGACGAGGCGCTTCTTGGCAAAGTTTTGCTCGCGGTACTTTCATAGTATCTCCTGTTCTTCCGGTTTGAAGATGGCGAGGCACCTAAGAGAAGCTTGTCAGTGGAGGAAGAATGCAAAAGTCGAAAGTACGTACCCAGGGAGCATATCCATCTCATATCGGAGGTGGATCGACATGAAGTGGCCTTCAGCGCGGAGCCTGCTGCATCACGTCCGGTTTGAAACGAATCTTGACGTCTGCAACATCAAAAAAAACTATTTGCTCTTTATCATAACCAGGGACGAGAAAGCAAAAGATAAAAGGACCTTTTATCGTTCCACAGAGAGTATCCTACTTGGGCTTAACCAGCAGCGGAGACATTCTACTTTCCTTGCTTTTTATTTCCAGCTTCATCAGTGTGGCTATGCAGATTTGCAATGCAGTTTTGGCAGCGAGGATAATGAATGTAATGCTTGTGTTGCCGGCCATTGTAACGAACGACGAGATCGCCATTGCCTTCCTTGGGAGTGGCTGCAAGATAGTTCACTAAGTTACATAGGAAGAAGAGAAAGATATGAGAAAAACACTCGACAATTACTTACGCGGCAAAAAAGATCGGGACGGCCTCCAGCCAGAAGAAGAAGCTGCCAGAAAAAGAGAACAAAAAAAGGAGACAAACACGTATAAACGAGGAGCAAGGAAATGTTGACGAATGCTTACATGCGAGTGAACGATGAGCCGCAATTGCGAGATGGACAATCGACCAGCAAATCCCTTCCACTTCAATCACAGACCTCCACTTCCTGTGCCACCAACGCGTGCTGGACGGCTGCCATCGGTAGCCTGGGCGATGCTCAGCATGGCCTCGGGATCCAAATCCAAAAGGGTGCACTGGAACGCCCTCGCTACCACTATCACCGGAAGAACTTCGCATGATGCTCGACACGGGGTTAATGTTCTTGCGTGGAGAAAATCGACTCCCGCCTTTAGCCCGGACGGATCTCAGTTCCTCCCCGGCTCACTGCACTGATTGCCGCAGCTCGACCGGCGTGTCTCATCCTCTTGACTTTGGGCTCGGCCGATCACGAGGCGGTCCTGCTGTTGCAAATTCCGGATCACAACCAGATCGACCGGGCATTGTCCCAATCACTAGCCAGCCTAGCTCCTGGCCGAGATGGAAGATCTCGTCTTCCTCGAGCGTGAGATCCATCCTGCTTACCTCGGATTTTCTCAGACCCTGCCGCCATAGCTCCTGGAAACTATGACCTAATCGAAGAGAGCGTGTGGACGAAATTTTTGAAACTTATTCGTTATTTTGGACGATCTATATGCGCCAGTCAAGAGAAGCCACCGACCCACATGAAATATTTTCAAGATGGTAGGACTATCTAGGACTATTTGTTGACCGATATTTATATCTACTACTCTAAGCCAAATCTCTTATAACTGGATTGCAAATTGTTATTTGTACAGGTGCCCAAATCATAGAAGAATATCTCAATGAATCTCCTCTCTTTACCATAATACATCTTTAATTATTTCTAATGTTTGAATAAGTCAGGATAATAAGATAAAAAAGGGCTTTACAATCAAGTGATCACCCTTTTAGCCAATTGGCTTAAGGTGTAAAGGATAAAATCTTAACATTGGCATGAGTGGGTAGAAATATTCATCATGGTGAAGGTTTAGTAAAACCATGGTGACTGTAAGGTGGTTTATGATTGCAAACTATCATTCCTTGCCAAGGGGAAGATTATTAGGCATCAGGTCAGAGTCATAAATTGCTGGATATGTAAATTTTTTCTCACCCTACATTATGAAAATCTTTGTATCATAAATTGCTGGATATATAAATTTTTTCTCACTTATGAAAATCTTTGTATCCAGGGAAATTATGAAAGTCTCTTTTTCTTACAACTAATTCTTCATTTCAAACTTGACCATTTGAAATCTCCTCTCACCTTTTTATCTATTCACTGCCACCTTTGACTCCTCATATCCCTCTACTTCTAAAGTTCATATACTTTTTTCCTCTAGTTTTGGAATTTTCATGATTCTTTTGTGGCTCATAATAATCTCCACAATCATTAATGCTACTTATTTCCTCAATAATTGACGCTCTATTAGCAGAATCCCAAACACTTATCTGGGCTTTTTCTTATTCAATCCTTTTTTCCAAATAGCTCCTACTTTCATCCTTATCATATTTTCTCCTAATTTACAACCTTATTTATACCATAAAGGAATCTGTCTTACTTCATCTCTTCATAAAGAGGGTATTACTTTATTTTAACCCTACATTGATTTTTTATCTCCACCATGCTAAGAAAATCCTAATAGAAGGATGGAAATATTATATTATATGTTCACCTATTCCTCCTTCTATATTTATTTTAATCTCTTGGTCACAAAATTTACATGTTTCCTCTCTTCATCCTTTAACCACTTTTTATCTTTTTTCCTTCATCTTTTAACCATTCTTTCTTTTTTTTCTTTTTCCTTATCTCTCTTCTTCCTCTCTTTATCCTTTAACCACTCTTTATTTCTCTTCATTTTTTAACCATTCTTTCTTTCTTTCTTTTTCTTTCTCTCTTCCTCTTCATCCTTTAACCACTCTTTATCTCTCTTCCCTCATCCTTAACCATTCTTTCTTTCTATTTTTTTTCTTTCCTAACCTCACAAGAGGAAGGATGTTAAATGCTTAATATATATGATTTTGAAGTTGGGTAAAAATATACTTTGCTCAAGCATATATTATATTTTAAGTAGCCACTAATTAATGGGAATCGAACTAATACCCCTGGCTCTAATACCATATGTAGTGCACCCTACCTTTCTCCTTTTAAGTTAACTAGAAAATTTTAAACCAACTAAAAAAAAGACAATTACTTAATAAAAAAGCCCTTAATGGTTATTTTATCTCTATATATATATTCCCCAAAGCTACAGTGGTTATTTAAAGTATCTGCATTAGGTTCTTGAAATAATCCCTACCAATCCTTTATAAAACTACTTTGATATTACTACAAAACACTCTAAATGCCTTATCTTAGTCTGTTATAAATCCTCACACTATATATTCCTTGATTCTCTTATGAATTAAATGCTAATATAACCCAAATTCAAGCTAAAATCATATGCTGTGATGTATGTTGCCTCTACGTAACTAATATAACAACATTTTCGACAATTTTCTTTTGATTTACCAATTCCATTGCCCTACTCACCTTAGGAATTTTGTTTCATAAAAGCAATTTTAGATTTCAAACTCAACCACCTGAGTCACCACTTTGCATATGAGTCATATAGTATATTTTTATATGATCCCTCAATTGAATCTTCAATTCTTCCATGAAATATTATTTTATGTGCCAATCAATGATAATGGATGGCTCTAATTGCATTGCAAGTTGACTTAGGGTATTAGCGAAAGTCCAAAATAGTCTCATTGTCCTTCTGAATCCTTGTTATAAACTCATGTAAAAGTCTTTGCCTATTTAAATTAAGGAACTAATTCCTAAACTTTTACTCAAACCAACTAAGTACAATTTTACATCCCTCTAGATAACCCAAGAATTATTCCTTTAAGGAATTTTATTAGATTTCAGCTAGTCTAATGGACATTGCACTTCTAGCTTATAATAGTGTTTTGTTATAAAGGTCACCAACAAATTTTGATTTTTATCTAGTTTACTATCTCCCTTAAAGTTAGGCAATTTAAACTTGCTAAAGATAATGGCATTTTATTCACATGCAACAAAACCTTTTAAATTTCTAAACATCTTAGGAGGGTGAATGACTGGTCCTTTGTAAACAAACATTTCAAACATAAAACTATAAGTAGCCATGATATAAAAATCTTTCTTTTAGTGAACATTTTTATATCCAATTGATTCAGTTTTTTGCGCCCCAACCAAAATAAATACTCCCTTGTTAAGGGGTTTAGAAACAGCCCTCAAGTCCCCTTAACCCCCTTAGTCACAAACTATTTAATCACTAAGGCAAATATTTCTTTTTTTAATTATATCCTTTCTTCATATGCTTTTGTTTTTTTGACATTCTTATTATTGGAACTTTCCAAATAAATTGATTATGATTTTTTGGCCTCCACAATCATTGCATCTACCTTAATAACCAAATTTCAAAAAACCCCCATGATTCTAACCATTTCCACTTCAAAGTACTTTTTATTGTAACATTGTAAAATTGTTTCATCTAGAATCCATACCCTTTTCTTCTATTAAGATTTTTACTTTTGTGAATAAAGTAAAATCATTATGTAGTGGCTCCTCTTGATTGAGGAACTCAATGGGTTATTATTTCTTTACTTGGAACTCTTATTGACTTTATGCTTTTACATTATTATAAAAGCTCGTAATATAATTTGGTAGAATATTAGCTGGTGACATATGCCAGCTAAGTGAATTGAACAATTTCCCCTTTTTGGATGGTACAAACTACAAGAGTTTACATTCATGATTGAGTTATCAAGTATATATATTCCCATTTATTTATTCTTTTTATAATTTTCAAAATTTTTTATTTCTCTCATTATCATGTAATGATTAATTGCATATTTCTGATTTATTACAATTAATTGATGGATAAGGTGGTTGTTTAGAATTTAAATATGTTTGGCCTTTTTTGGGAGCTATTCTACACTCTCCAAGCTCACACAGTGCTTAACAATATCAACTATCTAATTTACATTCATTATTTGTTTCTATTTGTATATTCAAACTTTGAAAACAATTGAAATCATATTCTAATTAATGAGACTACATTAAGAAGTTTTCAAAAAAAATTAATACCATAATTTTTAGTGTTGAAATAAAGGTAGAGCAAGAAATTGAGCAACCCATTTTCTAGGATGTGAAAAATTTTCCTCCCCCAACCAATCCCTAAGCATGCATAATAAGTAAGGTTTAAATTCTCAATTACTAAATGTTATTGATTAAATGTTATCCTAGAAAGATTTAGGACTTCAAGAGGAGGTAACTAGATTCCTTTATTTTCTTTCTTTGCTACATAAAATAAATTTCTAAAGTAAGCTATTGGTATTTATTTACTCATACAGCATTTTATTAATTATTATATTTTCATCATAATAAAGAGCATATAAACCAATAGCGTCGAGGTTTTAAAACTTACATACATATAAGATTTATTAATTATTTTCTCATCAAATTTTATATTGACTCTCTTAAATCCTTTACAATGAATAAATGGAGAATGAAGAATATAAGCTGTTGGTAATGCTAGTATTTATTTAATCATAAATTTTTTCTCTTTTATTTTATAAATCTCTCATAATGAACAAAAGGAGGATGAACTTATAAGCTTGCCATGATGACACTTAACACTTGAGGATATAAATTTTGACACTCATATACTAATAAAGTAGCCAGTTATTCTAAACATAAAGATTCATATTTAATGTTTTCTTTTGTAAATCCTTTATAATGAGCAAATGGAGAATGCATCTGAGTAGTAAAAGAATGAATAAAAATGTTATTTATAAATAAATTTATAATAGATTTTATACTTATTATTTATTAAAATTTTATACAAGTGAAAAACAATGCATACTAATAATTCAAGATGGTATGTATTGACCTCACACTCATTGAAGAATTATTATTTCTCATTATTATCTATGTCTTATGCATTCACCAATAGAAGCTAAACAAAACAAAAAAATCTAGCTAAACATTTTATACAAATAAAAAAATGCAATACACTATTTTTGCATATCTTAAGTGGTTAGCCATGCTTTCAAGTAATATCTTTATTATACATTTAAAAACTCTATAACATTAAAATATATTTGGATTTCATTTAGACTTATTCTACCCTTTTCACATTTCACATAATGACAATTTTAGAATGTTAGTTATCTTGTTTACATCCATTGTTATTTTTTCTCCACACCCTCAAAACAATTGAAGTTATGTTTCAATTGCGTTACAAAGTTTTCAAGAAAAATACTAAAACCTTAACTTTTATTACTAAGATAAAAACAAAATAAAAAATTGAGTAGCCCCTTCTCCAAAATGTGGAGAACCCTTCTCCCTCACTAAATACCTAGGTATATATAGTAATAAAGTTTAAATTTATATTTGCCAAAAGCTACAGTAAATTCAAAAGGATTAATGCTAAAAAGATTTAAAGGTTCAGGAAGAAATAGCTATATTTTTTATTTCTTTTTTTGGCCAAGAAAAATTATTTTTTAAGGTAAACTATTGGCTTTTATTTACTCACAAATTT